GTAAAATCACTTTTCTGTTAAGTCAAAACTATCAATTTCTTAAAAATAGGTTTACCTCTTTAACGCGGAAGGCACCCTTTATATGTGACAATAAAGGAATTTAATTTAAAGAGTAAACTCGGTTCTTAGTAGTCAAAAGCTACAAGTTCCCGTTAAATTGATTCTTTGCTATCAATAGAAAATACTGCCCCATAAGTAGGTTCATCTACGCATGACCGGACCAATATCTGATTACATGATTTACATTCCAACCTGTCTTTTAAACTGTTATTTACCTCGCTCATTTACTTTGTACACTGCACTCACATCAATATTCTTGTTCGCCTTAGATAAGCACCTTAGCAATAGAGTTGATAGATTGACAATTGGTCTCTGTGGTTCGATAATCTTATATATTACTTCGATAGGCTGTACACTTGCAGTACTACATTTAGGCTATACGTTACAGATTAAACCCATCAGGGACCGACTTGTTAGATGGTCGGGCATCCTCCTCTATCTCCCTTGTTTCACGGGCATCCCGACAGGGGGCATCTCCATGCTGATATTGCCCGAGTCTCCCCCCTTTTATGAGGGTCTCGATAGTATCCTTGAGATGGACACAATCTTCAGTCAAGTGTCCATGGCTCCGGTGATACTGGCAGTATTTGCTTCGATTTGCCCTGGGTTTAGCAGGAGCGGGGCGAGGACGCTTGACGCCGCCGTCCTTGAAATCTGTGTTTGCGCACTTCGCTAAGACGCGCTCGCGGGAAGCCGTTAGCGGATTTTACTCAGTAAACCTCCCCGAGGGCCCTCTTTGTTCCTGAGGGTCTCGAGGTTTATCGTCCCTTCTCTTCTCGCCAGTTTGTCGAGGAGGGGCAGTGTCTTGTCGCGGATGGCTGGTAGATCCGCGATTCTTGGGATCCCGGGCTCTGTTGGCCACTTCTCTCTCCTCGTAGACCATGTACGCTCTGGCTTTCTCGAGGAGGGCATCAAATGTCCAAGACGGTTCGATGCCTACAAACTTTCTGAATTATGTGCCTGGGAGGAGTCCCTTCTCGAGCAGGTATCTCTTCATGTGATCGGTACAGGGGACCTGGATGGCCTCACGGTTGAACCGATCAATAAATTCCCTCAGGGTCTCGTCGTGTCTCTGACGATGGCCTCGATGGTTGCTTCGGTCTTTGGGTGCCGTTGCGAAGCAGTGAACAAACTGATGAATTGGTTCTTTAGATTTTTCCAGGAGGTAATTGACCCCGGGGCGGGACTTTTGTATCAGTCCATCACAACTTTCCTCAAAGTCGTGGGGAAAAACCGGCATTTGGTTGGTCCCCCGACATTGTGATAATGTAGCATGGCCTTAACCCGTCTATATGGTCGACCGGGTCGGCGATGCCGTCGTATTCCTTTAGGTGGGGAGGCTTCTCCATGCCTGGGGGGATGGGTGCCTCCATAATGGCTTGTGACAAGGGACCGTGGGGGTCATCTTCGTCACTCCTGTCGGGCGAGCGAGACGGGGATCTGATGTAGTGGCGGTTATGGTGGCCTTAGTCGCGCGGAGCGTTACTCGGGCAATATGGTCGTTCATTGTTTCCCTCGTTCCTGTCTCCAGGGGGTCTTCGTTCTTGACGCAAGGGGGCGTGATCGCGTCTCCCCGTGTCAACGGGTTGGTCCTTTTCCAATGCGGGGCGTCGCCCGATTGGTCGGGGAGAAGGACTTCGAGATATGTCCCGACTACGTCTCTGTGGGGGAGATCGAGGATGTTCCTCTGCTTGGCGAGGAGGAGGAGGAGGAGATTGAGGTCTCCCGTGTCTTCTGGTGGCTCTCCGAGCATCTTCGAGCGCCCTCAATCTTTCTCCTTGAGCAAAGATTAGGTAGTTGGTCTGATTTATCGCCGCAAACAGTGTCCTGGTCGTGGCGTCTGCTCCGGCGGGAACACGGACCTCATGGAACTGAATGGGTTGGTAGTTCTAGGGAGGTGGCCGATCGTCTTCTAGTCGTGGAGGCATCGATGATGACGAGGCAGTTGCTCTGTCTCTATAGTCAGAAGGCTCGTGCATATTAATGACGGGGGCTGTGTTGTGGCCGGTGGTATCAGTGTTGTCGAGGCCGGCATTATTATCGGCGATGTTGTGTTGTTGACGTCGACGATACGGACATTCATGTTTTTTGCAGTCTGATCAGCCATGACAGTCAGAGGTAGTTTAGCTTTGGTCTCGAGTAAACGGAAGACGGGGAAGCAAGATTCCCACAGACGGTGCCACTGATCTTACTGAATTAGAATGGACCGTCACAACTAGCTCGGGCGGAAGTTGAATGAGATGAGGGGGTACCTGCAAGACACTCTGATGGCAAAGTAAGTTGCGGAATGAGCAAGCAAGCGTAAAAGTTAGAAAATCTTGAATACCTGACCCTCTCAGAAGAGAGGATATTTATAGCCCCCAGCATTGAGCCAATGTCCCCATTATTGGGCCACGTTGAGGCCCAATAACAGAAACTGCCAGGGCTTACGTGTGTATGGAGTCCAGCAAGTGGACTTCCCACTGGTCAACTGCTCCGCGAAAATATGGTTGGACCTGTGATTCCCGGAGAGCAGTTTAAGATGACTGTCGTGAGATCGTGAGCCACGTCCTCCAACGGACGTGTGAGGAGTTGCCCAACGGTCCCTAACTTAAACTCTGTTTTTGAGTTTTCCATTCGAATGACAAGTGTATGCCCAATCCAAATCACAAATGATATTGAAACGATCCGTTTTTAGTGAAAACTCCTTTCCCATTAGAGTTTAAATATTTATTTATGATTTAATTATTTTGTATTGGCCATATATAAAATAAAACATTAACCGTATTCATTAGTTATAATTAAAGTCACATACTTTTTATGATTATAATTGACCGCTTTTATTTATTTCTATTTTTTAATATTATTTAAAAGTTAAAAAATAAACACTATATGACATATAAAAGTTTATTATTTATTCAAAAAATGTATGTTACTATATATTAAATTGTGAATTATTTACACTTTTGGTGCAAACAAATTTACATCTTCAACAAATAACCATCAATCCAACGTGAAATAGTAAAAAGTAATTATGATATATATATATTTTTTAATAATATACAATTATGATAGTTTGATCATGTAAAATATTTTTAAATTAAAATGTGCATGTGAATTCAATCTTTAGCATTTTCATTATTTTTTTTTTTTGTATTTGAGTTTAGTTTTGATATCATTACATGTTTAATAAATTTTATATTATCAATAAATCAGAATCATTTATACATATGATTAAAGTCTAATACACTTATTTATGATATTGAAACTATGACTAAGTGGTATTTAGTTTTTAATACCATATTCTGGATATTTTATGATCTTTGGTAGATTTGATAAATATTGTGGGATATCTTTACATCTTAAAATCTTATATTTTTTTCAAAACTGAAATTAATAGTAACTTATAAGCATCACTTACAAATTACAACTCCGAAGTCTAAATCCAATAAAAAATTGTAAAAGCTTACACAAAAAATGCATTATAAGTCAAAGAAATAATATGATAAATTTGTCTTGTTAAATTAGTTTAATTGATAATCGTACATTAATTATAAGGTTAAGATTTTGAATTTGTAATATCCTATTTATTCATTTTAAAAAAATGAATTTATCGCTACACTAATTTAAAAAAAAGAAGATAAATTTGAGGTTGATATTATATATGAAAATCGAGATTAAAAGATTAAAGCCACATATAAATTTTTGTAACAAAATAAGTTGACTTTAAAAGCACTATTATTATCATTTTTATTTTTTTTAAATATATTTATTCATTCACATTGATAAAGTATATCAATACAAATTTAAAATTGTCAAAAACAAAAAAAATAAATTTAAGAACAAAATTGCATAAAATGATATATCGTATAAGTTTATAAATATGACTTTATTAAAATATGAGATATTTATGACTCTGAATTTGTAGCATTAATGACACTAAATATGATTGAATCTACATTAGGTTGAAACTAATATTTTAATTTAAAATAAATAATTAACGCACAAAAACGAAAAACAAAATATACGGTATAAAGACGAAAAATTAAAATATACTATATAAAGACAGAAAATCAAAACAAACAACGATTTACTAAAATAATAAATTAAAAAAATGCAAACAAAACAATATATATATATATATATATATATATATATATATATATATATATATATATATATATATATATATATATATATATATATATGAAAATCACTTAATTAATTAATAAAGAAAAAAATGATTTGAAAGAGTGATTTTAAATCAAAATCAATCGTAAATCACCTATCTCTTAATGATAAAGAAGAAGAAGAAACGTATTATTATCATTTTTGTTAAAAAGTAATTTACTAATATTTATTTCTTTTTTCTCAACAAATTCATATATTTGTACTTGGAATTTTTTGTAAAGAAAATAACACTATAAACAATTTTCTAAACATACATTCCAACACATTTTATGGTCAAATTACTTGGTCCCACATGAATTTAATAAATGTCATGTAAATTATATTGAATAAAGAAAAGTCCTATTTTTATATTACAAAATGTGTTACTACCCTTTTCTATAAAATACCCAACTATTGTTTTTTTCTTTCTGTTACCAAAGTGAAATTGCGCTCTTTTCTCGCTAATTTTTTTTGGCTCCAACGCTCTCGGTTCTTCGTCTCTCTCCTCTTCCGCGCACGTTCTGTAAGTCTTCACTGTTGTATTTCTCTTGTACTTCATTTCTTAGATATTGTTTGTTTTAATGCTTTAAATATTTATCACTCAATTTTTATTTTCTGCGTTAAAATGAAAAAAAATCTTCAACATTTTCTTGCTCTTTGATAATCGTTTCTTAGAGAAACGGTTAGAAATGGCGTAAAACGGTTTTGGTTTCTTGAATGTTGTATTAGTTAGTTTTTGAAACTAACAATTTGGGATCTTTGTGTTTTCTTGTTTGGTGAATTGTTAAAGTATGGCGGGTGGTAACAATCAGGTTACTGAAGATTATTCAGTTGCATTTGGGGATGTGATTTATGTCAAGCTTCCTCGCAGTGGTTTGTGGTGGCCTTCACAGGTTTGTCAATTGTATTGTATGAATGACCTAGATTAGATACACCCTTTGATGTTAACTTGCTCATGGTTTGATTTTTTGATGATGGTATAGGTTGTTAATGATGAAGCTGTTGTTTCGAGTTTGAAGCCTAGAAGTTGTCGCAAGGGGGAGGTTCTTGTTCGGGTTTACGGAAGCCATTTGTTGTCGGTACTTTGTTCCATTTATGTTTTGTATAATTTGCGCGTTGATTTGAACTAACGTGGCTTCTTTTTTTTGTTTTTTTTTGTTCCGCAGCTTGAATGTGGATCCGGTTAAATCTTGTTCTGAGTTTGAGACGGTAAGTTGTTGATATTTGGTGATCGTTTGAACTTTGAAGTAAACCTAATTTGTGTCCCTTTTTAAATCTAATGGATTTGGCTAGATTTGCTTTGTGCTTATGTATTTAAGTTTTCAGATTCTCAAGAAATTAGGTTCTTTTTTAAATTTAATGGATTTGGCTAGATTTTCTTTGTGCTTATGTATTTAAGTTTTCAGATTCTCAAGGATAATAATGGGGATCTCCAAAAAATACTCCGCGGAGGTCTTGAAAAGGTAACCTATTGCTTCTTTATTTTAGTTGTTAATACGGAGGCTTTAAGTGTTATGCAAGGCTTTTTTTCTTTTAGGCAGTGAGTTGTCTTCAAAATATTGAATTAATTCTGTTTGCTGTTGTATTTTTTGATGGGTGAAGAGCCTTCCTAGCTCAAAGAAATCAGCATCGAAGGCTAAAGGTTAGCACATTTTCTTGTAATTCCAGTGGTTTTTCTATGCTTTACTAAGTAGAAATAGCATATCTATGTTCATTTTTTGCTTTTTCTTTCGCTGCTGTTTAGTTTTGGGCGGCTGTTTTTATTTTCGCAGCTATCAGTTATGGTTGTTTTCAATAATTTATTCATTTTTTTACTCCCTCTGCTGTGTGCTTGTTCCAATGGCATTTACCTCGTAGACCTTCAGTTTGCATTTCTTCTTTTATCGAATCACCTCATTATCTTAAAGCTTGGTGGTGTGTATCCCAGTTGTTCTACTCTTTTCCAGCAGTACTTTCTTTACCTTCTGGATCTTCTCTCCGCATTTCTTGCATCTCTGCATTTAATTAACTGTTTGTGACTTGGAAAACCCTACTCCAAAAGTGCTTTCTCTATTTTGTTATTTTCACTGTTTAGCTTTTATACACTGCTGTTTTTCTTTCACAAATGGTGCGCATTGTTTACCGTCACCAGAAGAAAGTCTTCACTCAGACCCTTGGTTTAATGTTACACTTGGATGCCTCATTGACTTTCATGCTCTTATTGGCACATTCGATTCTTGACTCTGGGAAAGAGGCATTGGAAGATATAATGTATCAGAGACAACTGTCTCCTTGGACAGGTGTAGATGGATCCTTTAGGTTCCATGATTTGATGGTTTGCAAGGACAGTTCGAACCTTATCTAGTGTGCTTCTAGAGTGCGCCTATTCATTGTCCGACCCTTGTAAAAAATCTGTTGTCTTTTGATTCTTTAGTTTACCCCTTTTATAGCCACTATCATCTTTTAGGGTAATGGGACCCTCTTGCAATCCAATCCCCTTAGGTCATCATTAAGATATTCTCCTAGCTCATGGTTGGCCAGCGTATTGGGTAAGACTCGCCACTTTCACAATATCGTCTGTACAGGGCGTGGAGTAAGAATGGCTCCGAGGACCACCGCAGGAAGATGAACGATATTAAGAATGTAACAATTACTACCAAATGGATAGTTGCTGCAGTAGATCAGTTTTTACATCCTGAATGGGTCATTGGAGGCTTTACTCTTTTGGTGTGAAGGTGGCTGTAGAATTGATTCCATGATTTAATGGAAGGGAGGACTATTGGTGTCTTATCCAAGCAATGCAGTATTTTGGAGCAAGAATGAGCGAAGAGATAAAACTATGGTGGGCAGTTGCATTTGCATTGAGGGGAGAAGCTCATGAATGGTGGGTTTGTTGGAGGGAATGATGGGTCAGCTTTTACACCCACATACACTTACACTGTCGTTGACCTCCTTACCCCGTCACGAGAATTTCAACAGGACATGCCGTCAGGCCACCACCTTGTCAGAAAGACTTTCGATACAAGTAGCCGGTCCCCTTAGTTAACCGACTCTGATACCACTGATGGTTCATGAGGGGACATTCATATTGGGTCAAGAACAACCACACAAGTGAAAGACACACCACATGTTCATTCCAAACCTTAAGGCATTAGGTTTATGGGTCCTCTTAGTTATATATTGCTCAACCTCCACTTTTTCAAACAATGTGTGACTTCTAACTCACTTGTATCAGAACAAGGACAACAACTCAAATCTGAACTGAATGGTCATCCTGGTACCCAGCTTTGACTTAAACAGTCTTCCCAGTTCACCGGTTCGTCTCTATCATTGGTATCAGATCGATTTTGATCTAGAGGATTCAGAAGTTGTGGAGGTATTTGTTGTGCGAAGGTGGCTGAAGAATTGATTCCAAAATTCGATGGAAGGGAGGACTATTGGTGTTTGATCAAAGCAATTCAATATTTTGGAACAACAAGAATGCACGGAAAAAATGAATCTTGCTCTGTAATATTTTGGAACAAGACGAGTGCGCGAAAAAAAATGAAATTATGGTGGGTCGATGCATTTGCGTTGGGAGGAGGAACTCATGGATGTTTGGTTTGTTGGAAGGAGAGCAATCCAAATACTTGGTTGGATTTTTGGAAGGTCATTCTCAAACAATTTTAGCCAGAAGTTAGGGGAAACGTACAAGATTCATAATCAGAGCAAAAAATCAAATCTAACAGTGAAGAAAGCCATGACCAAATGATCCTGAGGGCGGAAATTGATAAAGAGAGAATAATAATTGGAGAAACCAATGATCTTAGAACAAAGGCACACCAAGAACAAGAGCAACAGCATATGCACCCACTTGATAAAAGGGAAAAACTGAAGATCAAAACTAAGAAAGAAAGCCAGATATAGGTGGTTACTATTCAAGATTGCAAGCAAAAACAGATTAAGGAATTGAGCAGAATATGAGAGGGATACCATCACACAATAGGCGAGGCACAACAGAGGTGGGTTATCTGGCAGTGTACAGAAGCAGCAATGGGTGTATAGGCTGTGGCACTGATGCAACGGCAATGAGATTGGACAGGGAGGAGTCAACAATCAATCTTAGCTGAGGAGGGGAACAAGGTTGTGATTTAATGGGACAAGTCCAATTTAATGAAGAGAAAACATAGGCCTGAAGGGAAAGAGATCTGTACGACTCTTGGGCTCATAACAAGTGTAGGGAATCAGCTGCTGACTGGGACAGCATAGATCTCTGATCAGCTGATATTCTCTCCATCACTGGCCAAGGCAGGCATGAAAGAAGGCTGAAAGGAAATCTAGATAGAACTCCAGTTCCACCACCACTAGATTATCCTGACCTCCCTATTGGCCAACTTAAGGGAGTGTTTTGATAAATTGAGAACTATATCATTAAGTTGCATGCAAAATGGGGTCCTGGAGGGACTGCTTGGGTTATTGATAAGTATGTTCTGTTACTGAATGTTAAGTGGCTTGGTTAGTTATTTATCAGGCAATTAATTAATTGGTCAGTTAGTGGGTGAGTTAGAGGATAGTTAAGGGAATTAAGGCACGCTACCTATAAATTGAGAGGAGTGATTAGAGATAGGATGATCTAGTCATTTGGAAATAGTTGGGGGACTTATAGGCATTTGGGTGAGTGTAGCGTCTCTGGAATACTCCAGGAATTGCTTGTAATCATAGTTCTTTTTCTCATTTTGGTAATAATACCAATTGGTTTCTATCAATATCTCACCAATTCACCATCACATGAAGGCACGACTCTAACCAAACTTGTCAATAACTTTGACATAGATGGTTGCCAGTCCTGTTCCGGCCTAGCCTACTCATTCACTATTTCTACAACCCCTAGTAGCTGTTTAGCTGTATCCATCATGGCTTATCTTCTCTGTATCTGCTGCTGTTTCGACAATTGACACGTGTTCTCTATGTTTTGGAACTATTTGTATTATGTGGTCTTATATATACAATATGATTACTTTTGGCTCGACTACCACTGGTTAACTGGGTTTATTTGTCTCAAGCTGAGAAGATAGTAGCTTAAGGTTCAGGGGTGGTTAAAATATTAACATTTATGTTATGTTGAATATATGAGAATTCTAAGTAACTGATTATAAAGCTGAATATTAGTTATTGTTAGTGCAGATCACTCTCTAATTGATTTTAAATCAATGTATAAGTTTCAGCACATATAAGTAGCCTAACAAACAATTCTTCTCATAATTATTTTTCAGCCGGGACTCCAAGTAAGAAGGCTAGTAGTAGCAAGAAACAGTCAAACACGAAAGGCGAGGAGCAGACCAAAGCCAAGCGCCAAAAACAAAATGAGTCAAAGGACGATGATCTGGGCAGCCCAAGTTGTGTGAGTATATATAGGACTTGAAACCTTTTTATTCCATGTTTTGGTTGATTGGATCCATTAACTTACTGTATTGTTCTCAGGAAACAGCCACCAGAAAGCTCCAAGAGTTGAGTTCCCGAAGGATTAGAGTGATGCAAAGCCTTGGTCTCAGTGCTCCCACTGGTTCACCATTCATCAAAGTTAGGGGTAATTGAAACAAAACCCCAGGATGGAAAAGTGTAGGCATGTGAAGAACTTGTGTAATGCATTCTCTTTTATTAGGACATGCTCATTTAGTCAAATACTTTGTCAAGGGTTGTTTAATCTGTAGTTTTGAAGTTTCTTCTTCAAGCAATTGGGCACAATCGTCGTTTATGATGAAAATGTGTAGTAAAATTTCAAGGTGGGTGGTCTACCATTGACTTTTCATGTTAGTGACACCAAATGGCAACTCTTTTGCTCTATTTTTAAAAGTCTAATGCATGGTAGTCATTATTTTTTGCTTAAATGTCTTCTACTATTGAAAAAAATTGAGTCCTTGAAACAGGAAAAGTTGTTTTGGTTTTAGTTTGTGTAATATTTCTTCACGTTGGAATTAGATGGTCCACGATTTAGGGACTAAAACCAACGCAAGGATAAAACCAGTTTTTTCAAAGTTTAATTTCTCAAATTCGGTATTCGGCCTAAGGACCGACTATTCCGAGACATCAATCTCACTACCCACTTGTGAGGGTTCCAATTGAAGGCAGAGCTAAACTGTTAGCCCTTAGCATGATTTGAATATGCAAGTGTGGGAGATTTGAACCTTAGCATTTAGCATGATTTGTACTTGCGATTGTAGAGCTAAGCTGTTAGCATTTAGTACGATTGGATCCTGTGATCCTGAGAGATTCGAACCTGACCTTGAGATAAGTATACTTTCATAATCTAAACTTTCGCCAACCCGCCAACCCAACCTTAGGATTGAAAAATATTAAACTTGTTTTGGACTAGGGTTGGATGAATTTGATTTGTGTACTGTATGTAGTTTAATATTACACTTTGACATTAACTATTAATGAGAAAGTTATAGTAACTTTGATTGAAGTATCCATCGAATAAATGGGTGTTGAGTCTAGTGAATTTGGTTAGTAGTATTTAATTTGTGGTGAACCATTAATTATGATTCGTATCTTGTTGGGATGCTAGTGTTTTATTATGTCTCAACACGATAGTCCTAGAAGGGTGATTTATGTGGGGAAGCTAGAAAAGGAATACTAGTGCAGTCCATGTGTGTTTAATGATCTCCAAATCTTATGATAAATCTCTTCTATATTGTATGCTTGTTTAGAAGATTACTTCGAGTGCACTCTTTTGAAAACACGAGAAGAATGGTGAACTACTTTATGATATTTTATATTCATGCTGCTTTTTAACATGAAACGAATTAGCTTATTTGTTTGTCTTTTGCCAAAGAATGTCTTGTGTTCAATTTGATCCTTTTTTTATTATTTGTAGTAAAAAAAGAAAAGCGATTATTCTTTTGCCCCTTGAGGAAAAAGCGCAGAATATTGTTGTTTCATGTCTTTCTCTTCCTTTTATTTTTCTTACTAATTAGAGCAAGTTCATCTGAGTAAATCGAATCCAACACTCTCCTCCATGCTCCATCCATGTGCTTAATGAATCCCATTTGTCATAAGTTTAAAGCATATTACATCACTTTTTGTGCTTTTAAGGTGGATGGATAGCAAAATGCTTAATCTAAGAGTATAACTTTACATTAGGAGAAATCAGACATTCACATTTTACCAACGTTTTCTTTTACAGAAGGGATCAAAATTTTAGATTTGATCATTTAATATGTTCGTCCATTTTAAATATATTTAGTGGATATTTCTAGTTAGTTGATAGTTATTACTACTAGATTTTTGAGAGGATAAGACAAAAACATGAATTTATATATTTTAATAAATTATGAAACAAATTTTTTATCTCAAACATAAATTATCAAAAACTATTAAAATATCAAATTTTATATATTAATAATAAATATTATATAAAATAATTATATTATTGTTTTTAATATATAAATTTATCAAACAAAATAGATTAAAAAATTATCAAATACCTCAATTATCAAATATAATATAATATACAAAATTATCTTGTACTATATCATTATATATTATTCTATTTAATACTTATTATTTCGCAAATCAAATACAACCTAAATAAGTTAAATAGAAATTTCGGTCACTCTTTAAATAAGTGTTGAATCAAATTAAAACTAAAAATGTTAGAATTTCACTATTCTCACGCCAATGGTCATTTAGTAAACACATTTTTAATACATTAATTTTGATGTACTTCAATAATATATTTAATATGATTATTTATTAAAAGATTTTTAAATTTTTATATAAAATATTTAGATAAGTTGCATTTCAGAGATTTATCTAAAAATAAGAGCCTATTTTAATTTTCAATAAATATTTATAAAAATATTTACACATTATCGATTAAATAAATTATTATAAAACATATAAAACATCCCTATGATAAATGTTTATTTAAAGTGTGCTTTCCAATTATTTTTTTACAGTTTGTGATTTTCCATTTAATAAAGGAAAAGGTTTAATGAGTTTGATGTATAACATTCTTTAAAATATAGTAATACAAACTTAGTTTTCACATAAAATTTCCTTGTATCTTTGGCTGCCCTATATATATATATATATATATATATATATATATATATATATATATATATATATATATATATATATATATATATATATATATATATATATATATATATATATATATATATATATATATATATATATATATATATATATATATATATATATATATATATATATATATATATATATATATTATTTAAATATAAAGTGATGTCGTACAATATATAAATAAATAAAACAAACATAGTACTACAGTTAAATTTATATAAACGCATTAAAATAAAATCAATCGGTACAATTGAAATGTTCATAGTCAATAAAATATCACAAATTATATATATTAATAGTAATTTTGGTCTTCCTGTTTAGTTTTTTTTTATTTATTTAATTTTGATTTTTTTATTATAAAAACTATTATTTTAGTTTATTTTTTAAGTTTTTTTATTGAATTTTGGTTACCTTTTTAATCTGAGTATATTTTTATATGACATGATACAATTTTTATTTATGTGCTAATGTCATGTCATTCTAATATTAATATAATTATTATTTTTATTTTAAATAATGAAGCTTTTATTGTTTTAGTATTAAATATTAAAATTAAAAAATATAAAATCTTCAAAATAATTGTCTCACATGAAATTCGAATCTTTGTCCTTTTATTTAAAATATCAATGTCCTTATCATTGGGCTATACAAATTCATTTATTAATTTTTCAAACAATTTTTATATATAGTATATATTTAGAATATGCAGTATAATATTTAGAACATATAAATCGAGATGAATTCATATATTAATCTTTTAAAATATAGAATCATTTCAACCTAAATAATAGATGAATTAAAAAAAAAGTTTGCCCAATAATAATAGATAAATTAAGCCTAAATAATAATTTGCCCAATAATTGTTAATTGTTTGGCAAGCAGAAGAATTACTTAAATTAAGTTCACTTCATAGAAAATCTATCAAACATTTCAGAATTTATGAATTACTTGCTGATCTAATGGATTCAAAAGAAAAGAGTTATAAGAACTTTTCAATGCTTCGAAAATAAATCAACTCAACTTTTATTCTGCGATACGCTATTTAGTGCAATGTTTTGTCAAATAATAGTAATAGCAGCGCTATAGCGAGTGTTGTAGCATAGTGAAATTCGATTGAGGCTAAGAGAAAAGCTTAAGAGCATAACAAAACATTTAACATATATTTGAATGAAAAAGTGATTCCTGGTAGTATGATTGTCCTCCAACATGACTTTTTTGAGCGAGTGATAGAAAAGAAACCGGTGAATTCATACTAAAGACGATTCTTTGTTCAATAACATTATCATTTTCAGCTCCAACATTGCCTTGTCCATCGTTCATTTTAGTTTATATGTTCTAAATATTATACTGCATGTTCTAAATATATACTATATATAAAAATTGTTAAGAAAATTAATAAATAAATTTGGGTAGCTTAATGGCAAGGGCGTTGGTATTTTAAATGAAAGGACAAAAGTTTGAGGCTCATGTGAGATAATTATTTGAAGATTTTATGTTTTTAAATTTTAACATTTAAGACCAAAACAATAAATGTTTCATTACTTAAAATAAAAAATAATAATTATATTAATATTAAAATGACATTACGTGACACATAAGTAAAAATTGTGTCACGTCATACAAAAATACATTTAAATTTGAAGGGGACTAAAATTCAATAAAAAAACTTTAAAAATAGACTAAAATAATAATTTTTATAATAGAGAGATCAAAATCAAGAAAAAAATTAAATAGAAGGACCAAAGTTACAATTAAACCAATTATATATTAATAAAAGTGTTTGATGAAAAATATATAAAATAAGAGATTAAAGATAATGCACTTTCGAAATAAATTAGTTTACACTATCACGAATAAACTATAATATTTAATTATATTATATCAATATTTTAAAATTTAAAAAATGACTTGATTGAATTCGACCTCTCATTAATCAACATTATAAAAATATTTTTAAAAAATCCTTACATACTCTTTTTTCTCATAAAATAAACTAAGTCATATTGGTGTTCATCAAACAAGAGCAAAACAAAATAAACTAACTTATAAAATATCTCAATAATTTAAACCAAAACCATTCATATGCATCAAAATTAGCACCATTGTAACTATTGGAGGGATCTTTATTGTCAATCAATTCTCTCCCATTGGAGTTCCACGTGTTAGAAAAAAAATGACCATTGTAACCAATATAACATGTAAAACTATTTTTATTTTTAACTAAAAAATACAAATTATGTTATTTCGGTCAAGAGTGTAGTAGTTGAACTTGCAATAGCACATTTATTTATAAGAGATCAAGATTTATACTCAAACTTACAAACAAAATCTAATTACAATTCAAGTCTAAAATATACAAGTTTTATTTTACTTCGACGTAACAACTAAATATTGTATTCAATTCTATAGAATATACCTGAAACCTACTACTTCGACTAGTTATTTCAACACAAACGAATACTAGCTTTTTACAAATTATCGAA